ATCAAATGTATCCATTTTGAAGTGTCTATACACAATAGTCTTGTTGAGGTTTGAGAGATCCAGTATGATTCTCACTCCGCCATCTTTTTTCTTGCGGGTATAAATATTGGACATAAACTGTCCATCTTCATAGCAAGTGGGTTCAATGACACCCTTCTTGATAAGCTTGCTAATTTCCTCATTAACACTGAATTGTTCTTCCAATGTTAGTTTGTACGGAGGTGGAGTGTAAAGTTGTTGAGGAAAAGAATCAATTCCCCAAAACTCCAAATGATACCCTTTAATTGCTTGCAGGATAACTTTGTCTGAAGCAAGTTTTTCCCATTCACTGCTATATAGCCTCAAACGGCCCCCAATCCATTCATAATTTTGGCCTGTATACGTACCTACCTCCATTGCAGTAGGTCTTGTGTCACTTAGGACGTCTTCTTTACATGTTTGAGGTTCGGACTGACTGGGTCCTTCGCTGATTGTGAGCCGCAGGTCCGAATGGACGACGGTGGTGTTGAAAGTTTTGTCGCATTTTCATGGCATTGACGTTTCCCCCTAAAAAAAGGGGCACTGGCACTGCCACTGGTTTTCCAGCCTGCAGCCTGAAAGCGTCTGTTTTCAGGGGCTGTAGGGATGGTAGGGTTGAAACCCCCTTCGTTGTTGTCCTGTGAAGCGCATCACGCCAAGTGTGGCTTTCTGCTCCTCTTGGAGTTCTTTAACCTGTTTCCCCAAGTCGTCACCAAATAGCAATTGGGTCACTTTTGTGGACGGCTTGCATAAGTGAGCATATTTTTGGTTCATGTCAGGTCGGATGAGCTCTTTTCGCAAACTTTTAAGTTCAACATTGGCTGATGCCAGCAATGCGTAGCCATCCTCCTGTTCGGCAGTCAGTGTGCCAGTACAAGATTGAGCCAGGGCTGTAATCCCTTTGATGAGTGGCTTCTGCACTCTCTGCAGTTTCAAATCCCTGGAGCGGGTTTTAGCTGATATGTAGTATCGGTCCCAACTATAGTTGGGACTGTCCCAACTATAGTTAGGACGGTCCCAACTGTAGTTGGGCTGGCCCAACTATAGTTGGGACGGCCCAACTATAGTTGGGGCTCATCAAGGGGCCCATCTATAGTTGGGCCACTCCAATCTTTTTATTTTGAGGTGTCCCAACTATAGTTTACATTGATGTACAACTATAAAACGTTCCTTACAGCTCTGATACACGTCTGACTTTACTGGGGACCACTGAAATTAGCTATTGATGGGACCCATCTATAGTTGGGTCACCCCAATCTTTTTATTTTGCGGTCCCAACTATAGTGTACGTTGTTGTACGATTATAAAACATTCCCTACAACTCTGATACACATCTGACTTTACTTGGGACCAATGAAATTATCTATGGGTGGGGACCATCTATAGTTGGGCCACTGCAATATTTTATTTTGGGGGCCCAAGTATAATTTACATTGATGTACGACTATAAAACATTCCCTACAGCTCTGTTACATGTTCGACTTTACTTGGGACCATTGACATTAGCTATGGGTGGGGCCCATCTATAGTTGACCGGCCACGCCAATCTTTGAATTTTGCAAAATGTTGCTGGACTATAAAACCCAGCTGGACAACTCATCCAACTAAGCAGTACCACGTGGCAGGCTGGCCCTGCAACACGCATGCACGACATTAACATTAACACTCTCTATCAAGCATCCGGCGCAACTCCAGTCCTAACTATAGTTGGGCCGGCCCAACTGCTGCACTATAGTTGGGACCGATGCGATAGTTGGGCGTAACATTGTCCCATATTTGAGGATTAACCTTTGGTACAGTAAGAGCGTCGCATTTACTAGGACACTGATATTTTTCAGCTGTGTCTGTGAGGCTTTTCTCCTCGAGCTTTTCCCTCATAAGGAAGTTCAGACTATTCGCTACATCCTCTTTGATGGGGTTACCCACTACAGAAGGAGCAGTAAATTTCGCTGCAAAACCTTTGGCTTTTGTAGTACTGTCACTAGTGCTCATACCCGTTTCTGCACTGCTGGTGGTAGCAGTAGCACTACTCGGCCTAACATTATGCTCCGAGTCTGTGTCCACCATGTCCACAGGGGAAACCATATTTTGGCCAGTTGGTGATGTGGTCATGTCCTCAGACTGTTTCAAAAAATCGACATTTGAGTCAATATTCACGGCCACAAAGGCTGAATAAGTACTTGCATGATCATCGTCACCGCCGCACTGACATGTCGGAGTAAGCGCCGGCCGCAATGTTGGAATTCGCCATGACACCCATGATCATCGCCTGGAAATTGTGACTCTCGGTGGCTTGTTTTGCCAGTAATTCCTGAAGGCGTGTGAGTCTGGTTGACATACCAGTATCATCCTTGGTCTTCCGAGGATGTTGTGAGCCCTTTGGCTGAGAAGAGTCCGAGTTACTCGCACTGTCTACTAAAGCGCATCAACAAGCGTCAACAAGCGTCAACGGTCGTCAACAAGCGTCAACAAATTTTGTATAGGCTTTTGAACATTAAAAACAGCTTTATATGGTAGAAAAAGCAATAAAGAACATCTTCTGCATATCAATTAATGTTAAAATTATTTTAAAACTTGGTTTTTTGAATGCGAAATGTACGACGAATTTGTCGATAAAAGTTGACCGCCATCTTGTTTGGATGGCGCTGTAGACTTCGTGGATGCATAGTATGGCTCTGTACACTTCACGCAGCGTAGTACGGCTAGCTACACATAAACAAGATGGCGGCCAACTGTTATCGACAAATCCGTCGTACATTTCGCGTTCCAGAAACCAAGTTTTTAAATAATGTCAACATTTAATTGATATGCAGAAGATGTTCTTTATTGCTTTTCTACCATATAAAGCTACTTTTAATGTTCAAAAGCCTAAACAAAATTTGTTGACGCTCGTTGACAACCGTTGAGGCTTGTTGATGCTTGTTGACGCTTGTTGACACGCTTTAGTAGGACCCGGTGCAGTTGTACATGCAGGCGTGCTTGTTGCACTAGTACTCGTGGTCATGCCCGTACTGCACGGTGTCGTTGCACAAGCAGCAGTCGGTGAGCACACCGCTGCCTTGTTCGGCGTCTTTTTGCCGTCAGTTTTTTCCTTATTTTTGTCCATGGTTACCATGGATCACAATTCTTCCGTCGAAGATTAAGAAAGGACAAAAACGAAGTGAAGTATTTGATACAAATAATTATTTCACTCCGTGAAGAAAATGACAGCGGTTCCCACTATCGCGCACTGTGGCGTAATGGTGGCGGGATCTCACGGAATCTCTCGCGAGATTTCGAAATAAAATGGATATATTTCTCCCTCATAACCGTCATGACCGTATACGTTTATCGTTAAATTATTTTGTGTTTCTATCTTTGGTATCTGGTCGATCGGTGTTGGAAAGTCTACGCCTTTAAATTTGAGTCCGTCGTCTTTGGTGTATACAACCGGTTCTTCTTTATGAATTTTATATTTAGGATCGTTTTTTATTTTATTTTTTACTTTATCCGTGTACAAGCCAAGAGCCGCTCTCAAAACACCATCTCAAACACTCGTCGTCTTTGTTTTTAATGTTTATCATCACCGTTTTCTGTTTGATACATTTAGGTAGGTCTATGTAAGAACTACCCCTCACGGGGTTAAACCTGTTGATGTTGATATACAACGCCATTATCTTTTTTAAAACCCAACCCGATCCTTGATTCGTATACCTTTCATCCTTTCTAAATAGCTGGTCGATGTCTTCTTTTAAAACCTGTTTTATTTGACTTTGATTTAAAACGACTCTCTGATCGCTAAAATGAATAGCTTCAATCGTTTCGATCGTACCATCCGGTTTGGTTTTTTCGTATCTTATTTTGATCACAAGTTCTACATTTAAACCTCTTAACTCTCTCAATTCCGACAAATTTTATTTACAATTTGATCTTTGTGCGTATCAAAAAATCTGACTAAATCGTTGTTAAAAGTCTAGGAATCAGTTCCCAGTTTCTAAAGTTGTTTCTGAATCTCCTCGTCGCTCTAAACTCAGCCTCTTGAAAATATTCAGGTTGCCTAGAATTTTGAATCGCTGAGAGTAAATCTTTTTTCAAAAATCGACCATTATAACCCGTCAGTGTAAATTCTAGATCGTAATCGTCTACAATCTGTTTGAGCTCATGTAGTGTCTTTTTCCTAAAGTGCTTTAAATTGAGCTTTGTAGTTTTTTATCCTGTCGATGTAGACTTTTCGAGAAAGATAAGCATATCGATTGTACGATATTTTATATTGCTGGATGTAATCATGCAGCGTGGCTTTATTCCATCTAGAAAACCCTTTAACGATTGGCTTGAACGTATTCATCATTTATATCAATATTTAAAAAAAAAAAATTTTTTTTAAGAGGTCAGACTTTTGGATTTATAAGCAATTAGACACATCGGCCAGTGAGAGAGATCTTCAATACGAGAGATATTTGGGGATTGGCGCCGTACCCCTCTCCTGAGGGTTTTGTCTGGTGGGAGAGTGATGTTTTGGCCTAGTGTCCTCCACCATTGCGGGTCAAAAAAAGGGTCTATATTTTAAAATATTTGTCTTGTACCACTACCCAGACCTATGGTAAAGTCTGGTACCCTCCCCTTACACCTACTGGTAGCAAGTCTCTTTTGTGAGTATGTGTGGTTATGAAAAGAACCAGAAGATACGCTAGGGCAACCACATGATTCGTGGCATGTCTTTAGATGGTGGTTTACCAGTATGCCAAGTTAGAGGTACATCGGATTTTAAAAAGTGCCAAAGTCGGGGGCCAGAAAAACAAAGGCTTTTCCAACAACTATGCTGAAACAGCCAATAAGGGAATAAGGAAAAACAGAGGTAATCCTCACTTTTTCTACTTGCATGTACATATTAAAACAACAACTTTTCCAAGTTGGTCCATTACCAAGACTAAGCCCATATGGCAAATTGCTAGTCACTTCATTGCATTTCTTATGACACAAATCTGTAACGGCTATTGACTTACCCCTTCATTTATGAGCCATAGTAGCATGTTAATTGTTAGCACAGCGGTCAGCAGACCTACTCGTCTGATCTTCAAAATAGGAAGTGAAGATTGTGAAGCAAAGACACCAGCCTGTGATAAACAAAAGTCGTATTCAGTAATAACTTCAAGTGTATAATTTCAAAAACATTACTTAAATAACAAAAAATGGCGTTTTAAATTCTTGTTGTGTGGCATTCAAGTTAGGTGGGGTAAAGGCATACAGGATCATTTGTTCAATATTTTGTAAAGGAAAATCAATACAGATCATTCTCAATTTCTAACTCATAAAATTCTTGTAATTACCATGAACATTAGTTGGTATTGCAGTATTAATGTAACAAGAAAAGTCTACCATTTTTTTTCTTGAACGTGTTCGAGGAAAAACTGTTGGGTCATAGTACTAATGAATTTGCCTTTAAAGTGCTTACTGATTCCATAAAGTCAAAAATAAAACCCAGTCTGATGATATCACTGATCATATTTGACCAACTCCACAAAAAAAGGATATTATGTCACAAAAGGTTGTCTACAACAGGGGAGCGCAAGGGTCCCATGGGACTGAGCATTTGAGTCAAGTAAGTCAAAGTGCCACCAAAAAAAAGTGAATTTGAGTTACATTACATGGTGGTAAAGCCAACAACGTAAGCTTATAATAGCGCTCCATAGCCCCTCCCATTATATTAATTACTTCCTTGGAGTTCAAATTACACAACTGAAAAAAACCCAAACAAACAGGCTTTGGATTTGGGCCCGATGCACTCGAAATTGTAATTTTAAAGATGTCAATCATGAAAAAAAAAGTGAAAATCACATATTCACCCAATCAACGTTGAGCGGGCCATTATATGATAATGCAGAGTGCGACTAAATATATTGATTGTTACTTGTGTGTCAAGTATGGAAGGACCTCAGTTAACATCTTACACGGTCCTGAGTAACCTCCCTCAACTCGCTGAGCATCATGGCCCATTTAGCATTTGGCTTAGAAGTTTCCAGTTACTCAATGGAGCATATTTGAATAATTTATTGGCCAATGGATTACGCAAACTTCTTGCCACTCACAGGTGGACGGTACATGTAACGTGCAAAGAGGCAGATTCGTGGTGAACTACGCACAACGTCTGCTTCCCTGACGTGAAAATTCTAGGCCTCTGTTTTTGTCTGTGGGCCTGACTGTTTCAGCAGTAATATCAGTAGTGATAGGTACTGCTTGTGGCCATCGAGTAATTTGATCTACACATGTAAGCATGTAGGTAAATCCATGAGATGGTGGTAATGGACAAACTATATTAATGTGGACATGGTTAAAGAGAGCATCAAAGCTGCTGCTGATAATTATGCCCTCAAAGAACTCCGGTCACCTTCTGAAGTACTAGCTGGCTGTAACCTTCCCAGAATAACCACGGGCGTACAAGCCACATGCTACACAAGTGGCATATGAAGCGAACGCCTGAGTGTGACTTGGGGGGGGGGGGGGGGCTACTGATCAGAGCGCAAGGCACATTGTCAACGAGTGCCCAATCAGAAAACTGGACGGTTGCATCTATCGTTCGTCTGGCCAGCTGTGACCTGATCACGACACGGTGGACCTTGACAATTGATTCAGTGTTGCATACAAGAGATAGAGAGGTGTCACAGAGTGACGCTGTACCTTAACATGTTGACACTTTATGCACTTTCTGGTTGATGATCAAATATCTTTGTTAATTGGATGGCCATATGAATATTTGTGTGATTGAACGTTGAGTAGCTCTTATTCCTGGGTGAGATGTACCATGAATAGAATTAAAGACATTATGCCAAAATTCAGGAGGTATGTATGGATGTGACTGACCAGTGGATATGGTCACATGTAATACTACCGTGGGTGGTGAAAAGTGGCATTTCTTGAAATTGAAGATTCAACGATGTATGTAGCTTTACTAGGTTTTCATCGGTCTTCTGTTTACAAGCAATTGCGTCAAAATCCACTGTAGTAACTGATGTGATTGCGGGAGCCATAATATCAATATGGAGTCTGGAAAGTGCATCTGCTGCAGCATTTTCACTGCCTTTCGCATAGCGTAGATGTATATCTGTGCTGAACTGTGACATAGAATCTAAGTGACGGATCTCCCCAGGTGAATAACGATCAGGCTTCGCTGTAAAAGCATATGTGAGGGGTTAATGATCGGTTAAGATGCAAACATCTTGAAATTCTAACATATGTCTACAATGACGAACAGACAAATATAACGCTAACAACTCGGGACCAAATCTACCGTATTTAGTTTCTGCCGGCTGTAAACGTTTTAAAAGGAGGCAATGGGCATCAAAACCTTATGAACACACTGGTGGAATGCTCCTCCAATTACAACACTGGACGCATCAGTCATGATGCAAAGTGAGCTTTCCGCATTTGGGTGTACTAACAAAGTAGCTTCAGCTGGACAGGTTTTGGCTGTCTGAAATGCTTTCAAGGCAGTATTGGAAAGTTCGGTTGCTTTTTTTTTTGGGGGGGGGGGGTTAGGCCTACCTATGTGGGGTGCTGTGGTCCAATATGGTTACAGTGTTCGATTCGTGTGCTGTGGTATATGGGTTCGAATCCTGACCGTTGGAACATGCATGCTTGTGCTCTTGAACAAGGCACTTTACCATTATTGATTCGTCCTTCGGATGGGACGTAAAGCCTTAGGTCCCGTGTGTTGTGTAAAGAACCCAGTAACACATTGCTTAGAGAAGGGTTTGCCCCGGTGTTTCTGGCAGTGGCTGCAATATATGCGCCGCAGCACCTTGAAATATGCATTGTCCTTTTGGCAAAAAATTGTGTCCCGAAGAGTGACGTCATGATTACGTCATCAATGGTCACGTGACGTCATCACAAACGTGCATATTTTGAAGTCCTATATTTACAGAACAGTAAGTGCAATTTTGGTTGAAACTTGGTATGTGGGTAGACCGGGATGTGTTAAAGATAAAAAATGAGGTGACGTCATGATGATGTCATCATTCGATTTGATAAGAATATTGAAATTTTGGGACCTTTTAGCCATATCTCACGAACACAACATGCAAAATTCTTTTTGTATTTGGTTTGTTAGGTAATAGGTATTTGCATAAAATTTGGAAAAATGTGTGACATCATTATGACGTCATCAAAAATGCGATTTTTCAAAACACATCTAAGGAAAGGTCCGATCGTTATGAAACTTGGTGGGTAGGTAGATAATGGTACTAGTATGCAAAGTCCGAAGTGTCATCACGATGACGTCATTGTTTGATTTTTTTTAATGATTTTTAAAATATTTATAATTTTATTCTGCTTCCAAAATTGCACACTTCCTTTCATCGGATTGACTGTAAACTTGGTTCAAACCAAGACCACTGTGATGTAAGTACATATTAACCTGTAGGTTGATAACCCATAGCAAGGCCACTTTGGCCAGTGTTGGGATTCTAGGAAGAATAAGGTGGGTGGTAGAAGACATATGTTGTGGTCAATAAATATCCAAGTTAAGGTTGTGGTTTTACCCTCAAGAAGGGTTGGAAAACATCTTCAAGGAGAAGATGTGGTCACACCTCCACTGAGGGTGGGGCTGACATCTAACAATGGTTTAGGGACATGTAAAAAGTAAGGAAGGAATTGAAATGGTTAATCTTGATTGAGGCACCAGAGAGTGCACAACATTTTGTATAGCTCCAGAATATGAGAATGTAGCAATAAATAGTATAGCAAGAAGTTGTCCAGTGTGAGTTCCTGATGTAGAGAACTTTAAGTATAATCGATGTTCACCGAGGTGGACAACGTAACATGGTGGCAGCGGTAAGCAGCAGTGACGAGAACCAGCGTACCACAAGAAAAGAGAACAGTATCCCCATCCTTTGATGTGGAGGATGATTCCAACTCCAACTGGAACTTTTGCTGCCGACGACGTGTAACACTGTCAGTTACGGGGCAGTAGCTACCGGTACAGCTCCAAACCAGTCCTACCAGAGGATGAAGACCACCTGCGAGATGGCATCATTGCAGTAGAGGACCGGTTCATGGTGAGAGGAGGCTGACAGGGAGCTAGGACGGGACGTGTGGAGTGCCAGTGACGATCCAGACGGAGTGCAGCGTGCCGTGACGATGACGTTGTGGTGCTAGAGGACGGATGACGCAAGGGATGCACCGATGTGGACCACTGCAAGGGTGTGGTAAGTACATTGTGTAGGGTATATATAAGAACTCGTGTCCACTGAATTGGAGATGTATACATGTACCGGTATTGTGTGTAAATGTACTGAGTATATTGGTAAAGTAGTAGTAATCTTTTCAGTTGGTTATTCTCATATTATTGTGTAAATCACATAAGTACAGTAAATTGCAGTTGATGGTCTTTAGCATGCCCCAGCTTCGTTCATCCTCAAAGTCTTCTACAATCATGCCAATGGATACCGATCACAGTAATGAAACCCCCAGTGACCAACAACACACTGGAGCCAGTTCAAGTATGAGTGAAGGTCAAGTTAACACAAGTCCAGTGTTGCCCAGCGGTAAAACACCAGAAGGTGTTCCGGAGGGTCTGCCACAAGAAATGTGGATTGAATATCTCAGAATACAATCTAATGAAAGGATACAAATGAAACAAATGGAATTGCCACATGTACAAATGCAATCTCCCAATCCCACACCAGTGTTCCAGGGACAATGTGGGTCAGACAAAATTAGAGTCCCAAAATTGAGAGAGTCAGATGACATAGATGTTTATCTCAAAGCATTTGAAAATCTTGCAGAAATGAATGGCTGGCCTGAGGGTCAATGGTCAGCCAGGTTAGTGCCTGAGTTGACAGGCAAAGCCAGGGAGGCATATGCGTCACTCCCGGTAGATGAGGCTAAGATTAATACAATTCTTAAGAGAGCCATTCTAGATCGCTATGAGATTAGGGCTGAAACATACCGAACAACATTTCGCCAACGTGTGCGTAAAGGTACAGAATCGGTTCGAGATTGGATTCATGAATTATCCCATCAGTTTGACAATTGGCTAAAATTTGCTGACATTGATCATTGTACCCCATCAGAGATTTGCGATCTCATGATAATGGAACAGGCCATGAATAAATTGCCG